CTTATCGCCTGAAGAAGACTAGCAGTAAGCAGTCGAAACGTCGCGATCTACATCTCAGTGACTACATCGTGAGACAAACGATAATACACTTTATTATCGGTTTATATTTATTGGTCAAATATCCCATAATTCCTATTGGCGGAGAGTTATTTGCAGGTGTAGCGAAACATGGCGTTCTCTGACTTTCCTATTGTTATTTTAGTTCTCAAACCCTCGTAATTAGTACATGATAGAGTAGGATAACAATATTTATTGTTTTTTAGGTCCTATTTGCCTCAAGTAATAGTGACGAACCCCCTTGCAGTGCTTGTGACGATTCTGTAAGTGAAAGTTTTATGTTGACAGCTTGCAAAGTACTTGTAAACAATGCAAACGAAACAATACTGGCACGAATTGCCTATTGGTCAAAAATGTTTCCTACAGGAGAGAAAGAGGTTTCACTGTGTCACATATGCATAATACACTGCGCGATAGATAACAAAAAAGAAAAACAGGTAGTTTTCTTAACAATCTGTCACACAATATTCAGCAAACTGTAGGAACGAGAGTGAAGTGTAAAGAAGTTAATTCCACATATATAAGACTTATTCCCTTAACAGGAGGGTGTAGATAAGCCGATGCTGCGACACGAAGTTTACTCAGGAGGCAGCACAAACGACTCTACACTCGTGTTCATCTTCTAAGGAAACATCCATGCCACGTGCGCGGTAACTTTATCCCCGGGAGAACTGGGTCTAAAGATTACCTTGGGAATAACGTCTCTCTCACCCAGCGTCCTCTCTTGTATTCGCCAATCTCATGAAACATAAAAATTTAACGATCCATGGTCCTCGTTAACTCTGGTTTCTCCCGCTTAATCACTTGTATGCAAATTCGTTCTGCTGTCACGCTCCCGGGAATGTAAATAATGTTATTTCACAGAGTGGTGTTTTGTACGGAAACAATGCATTTCGTGCTAAATAGAAACAATTTATAGTTCAAACTCCGTGTCTCGTGTTTGTCAGCCATGTGTTTAAGTGATGAAGTATGCTGAAGTGTTGTTTTGAAGGCATGAGAGCGAATGATCAAGTGTGGTGTTTTCGCAACAAAGTTCTGTGAGTATACAATTGATAAGTTTCTCGTGTTTTGCGTGTTGTTTTGAATTAAAATACCGATTAACGTTATTTCTAATCTTACTCCATTTTACGCTTAACTGATTTGCCGCCCAAACGTCGGTTTGCAACAGGCTTAGAATTAGTATTTTGTTACAGAATGCCTTCGTTTGTGGAAACGAGATATCCTACTGGGAAATGTCTTTAAGTAAGCTGGGCTGCTCGGATTTCACCTGTTTTCGGAATTCCACTTTGTCCGTTTACAAGCGCGTGTTGTAGTTACAAACTTGTTAGTGGGATTTTTTAATTTCTCATTGTGCAGGACCATTCTTGATATCCTAGACTTTCCTTTGCCAATTTTGGACCAATATCTTTTCAACTCGATTTTCCGAATTTCGTCATAACAAACGGGTTGAAAGGTTCTGCTTTCGCTTCCTAAAAAATTTCACTAAGCATGAATAAATTAGCCAAAACAGCTGTGAGAAACCAATTTACCACGTTTCGTCTTCGAGCCTGGCCGATAAATGGTGTCACATTGGTTTCAACTAAACGGTTTAAGCAATTTACGAGCCAATCTCATTTTATTTTGAAAGGACGCGTAATGTTGCACGAATGTGATAGTTAAAGACGGCATGGTTGAATTACCTTGAACCGAGCCATGCGTGTGTTTTGTCTCTTAGCTCATTCTTTTGAATCAATTTTCGCCTCTAGTTGGCTATAAGTCGTTTTCTTTTCTCTTTTTTTTCTTCTCGTTGTTTTTTTCAGTTCTGTAGATCTCGAAACTGTCAAACACACTTGGTTTAATATTGTTTCGACTTGACAAGGAAGATTAACCCAGGTTTATTACTACATTATAATAGTAGCTGCTTCTGTTACTTGTACTGTATTCTATTATTGTCTTTGGTTAATCGCATTGAAATAAGAAGCGAAAAACAGGATTAAATACTCGGCTGAGTTAATCTTGGATTAGTATTAATTAGCTTTCGGCTAACTGTAGCCAGGTGATACATACATACATACATACATACATACATACATACATACATACATACATACAT